TTAAAATTAGCAGGGTGTCAAGTTCTGGAATGTGCACCAAATAGGGTGTTTCAAGTCAGAAGAAAGAACAAAGAAGGTGCATTAATGATGAAATTTGAAATTAACTGGACAGAATTACCAAGTGACTGTAAAGTAGGATGTCTAATATTTTGACAGACACTGGTTTATTGTAGCTTCATCTCACAACAGAAAAGTGGAGTAGAGTTCATGATCACAGACAGGTCCGCCCCTTAAACTCTGTGTTGTAAGACTCTTGCAGGTGGATGATGATCAGTGAATGAGGCAATGTACACATGTATACGCCATAGATAATATATGTGCAGCAATACTGCCCATGCTGCTGTAGGTTTGCAAAATAAAGTCTGTTTGGAAAGAGCCATGGCTTTTTAAGGGAGAACAGGGGTTTATGTGGAAACATACCTTACACACTAAAATGTAATAACCTTTGAGTCTCCTGGTGTTTTACTTGGCCCCGCGAAACAGAAGATCAAACACAGACTTGGATCCAGCAGCTTTTGCCAAAAATGTCGGCGCTAAGCACTGGGCTCCAGGTATGTTCTTTCCTCTGAGTGTGAGCGCTAAGACACAGAGCCCCATTAACCCTCAGAGACCTCTGCAGCACCCGCCTCAGACAGGAAGTCAGGTCCCCCCTGTCATCACCACAGCCTGAGTCACGCAGTGTCACCCAAACCCCACTATGGACGACTGCACCTACTAGAGCTCTGAGCGCTCTCCAAAACATATCTCATAATCACGAGGAAAGGCTCTGACAGAAGTGACTTCAAAGCAGCTGCGGCCCAGATAAAGTCAGAAGTGACAGAGCCTCATTCCACAGATAAGACATGAAGACTCCTTTCATCAATAAAGTCATACAGTATATAGTGTTCGGTATAGAAGGGATTTACATTAAAGACATTCAAATCACTTTTATATGAAAAGCTTCTATTTCTGTACACTGAACATCAGTGTGGTTTGGTTTGACAGTAATGTCATAAATATACGATTACTGTCTCACTGGCCTCTTCCCTAGTCCCTCTTCCCAGTCTTACATTAAAGACAGTCTGTTTGGCTCAATGCTCTTCTCCATCACAGGTCTTGGTCGTGAGAAATGAAAAAGGCTTCTTCTCAATAGAGCTAAACATTAGTTTTCTCATGTATCCAAATCTAACCAAATCCTGACACATGAATGGTTAAATTACTTCGTGAGAAGACAACAGCTCTAAGTGTGTATAGGCAACAGCAGATGAAAAGAGCTTACAAACGTGTGGCTGTTGTGACAAGTGGAGCAGAGGGCCAGGTGAAGATGTTTACACTGACACTAAAGTGACTGTTTACTCTGCACAAATGGCACCAAACTTTGAAAAACAATCAGAGGCCGACAGGGAGCAAAATGACCAAGTGAGATCAGAGCATCAAGGTGAACCCCAAACCAACTGCTCCTCCTGGCACAGAACAGCCAGGAGGAGCTGTTCTGTGCCAGGGGGGCACAGGTACACCTCTCTTGTACCTGTGCCCCCCTTCCTCTTCAGCCTTTTCCTACCGCAACAGCCTCACCCCCTCTCTCCCTCACTCCTTTCATGTCTCTTTATCATCCTTTCTCACCCTGTATCTGCCCTTCTCACTTTTTCTCTCTCATGCTTTTCTCTTCCTCTGCTCCCATCTCTCCCTCTCTTTCTCTAACCCCCCCTATACTATATTTTCCTCTTCCCTATTCTCTCCCCCTGCCCCCCACTGCCTCTCCCTCACGTCTCTTTCCCCTCTAACTCTCTCGCCTTCCTCCACCTTTCCCTCTCTCTCTCACTTCCCCTGTATCTCTCCCCTCTCTCCCCCTTAGCTTTAGGATTTTGCAGTACAAACCAGGAACAGATGTCGGCTGGGGCTGCGCTGAAAGACCCCGCTGTTCTGGATGCCAGCCACATGCTTTTCATTCAGAGATGAAGGCTCACAGCTCGCCTTCTTGTGAAGCCAATTTCAAAAAAAAGAGAGAGAGAGAGAGGGCTGGAAAAAACAAACTCTCCAAATACCTTTAAGTCTCCTCAAAAAGCCAACATGTGCAAGCCCACCTTTCCGTCCATGTACGTACTCTGTCTTTCCTTATACCACAATGATACAGCTCGAATGTAAATCTAATGACAACTCCGAAAATATCCTTGGTGCCTTAAGATTACACAGATACCCCTGCCTTACATCCAAGACAAATACAGCGAAATTACACTCTGTGCTTTTTAAGATATAGGCTGCCCAAAGCACCAAATCTGAGGCGTCCAAACTAAACATCAATTTTACTGTGTATGCCAAATGAGAAATTTTATGTGAGGGGAAATTTTTATTCACATAGTCCAAATTAGTCAAACCTAGTGTTCCGAAAACTATTTTATTGGAGTGCTTGTAATGCTGTACAAGTCCAAAACACATTGCCCCTTTTGCCACATCTAAGTCACTAATTAAACCTTTTTAAATTGAGTATGATATAAATTTTAAACATATTGTTTATTACTACTATAAAGGCCAGCTTTGTGAAAGGTTTGATGACAAAATACATCAGTGAACACCTGAATTAATCCATCACCAATATCTGTTTGAAGCTGGAATTAAAATATACAGTTTAATAGGTCTGGACTCACTTCTTAGCATAACTGATTTGGATGGGTTGAGCATTATGTTTTTATACAAGCATTTTGGCATAACCGTTTTGCTCACCTGTGAATCTCTTATTTAACTTTGCACCTGCGGAGAGACAGGAAACGATTCCTTTAAGCATCTGTAATGACTCGTCAGACCCTTTTGCCAAGTCGTCCCATTGAACCATGCATCCTTTATCCGTTAATTGCTTGTACTAATAAAGAAACAAACTGAGCGCGCGAGACCAGGTGTGATTTGAGGCTATGTCTTCCAGCTATAACGGCGTCCGAACATGTTTTGCAATTGTAATTGTAACATTTAACAACAAAGCATCTGGGTTTTGTTCTGTAAAGAGACAGTTGAATCGAGGGGAAATGCATGTTAAAGTTTCTGGTTGGTACCTGCACCTAGGTGTGTCAGAATAGCAGGTGTACTCAATAAAATATTATTCTAATGACAAAAGTAAGTTTTCTTTTATGTGAATTACTCTCTGAAGTACAATTTCCTGGAAAAAAAAAAGGTTGATGTAACTGAGTAAACAATAAAAAAACCAAGACCAAAAATGATCTGCCGCAGACAAAGTAGCATGTAAGAAGCCATAATGAGCTACTGTTATTGTTATTAACTGTTTTGTTATTAATTCAATCCATTATACAGTTTGTTATACTAGTATCAAGTGACAGCTATTTCAGATCTTGAGCCAAGAAAAACATTACTGTCAATGTTTCATAATATCTAATAAATAACTACATAGACTGGAATGGAGAGATGATTTCGATAGGGCTACCTGGTTGTGCTCCATCCTCTGGCCCATCCCCCTGACAGGACAGGACAGGGGAAAGGGAAAGGGAGGAGGGAGTCGAGGGGTGAGGGTAGTTTGGAGGCTCCGCTGATATCAGAGCTCTTTTATAACTCCTGCTCTGCGCTTTGAAGTCGCAGCCAGACAGCTCAGGAATCCTACTCCCCCGTTTGACAATGAGGAGGGGGGAGGGTCTAAGCTAAACACTGGGTTTGGTCATTCGCCTCCTATATGAAATCATAAGTAATTTTTTTGGACATCTTCACAGCTCATCAAATAGTGCACAGAATGTGGTTTGGGTCATATGTGAAACAGATTAGGGCCAATAATGACTGAAATTGATATTACAGGCCAAAACCTCTAAATCTACAAAAAATAATGATGACACTTTTATTACTATCAGAATGGCATTTACTATAATCACAATCTTATCCAAAACATACAATGCACCAAGTAAAAATCTGCATATATTTATAAGTTTTAGCCAGACACAAAATAATGTATGCAAAATCAGACTTAAATGCTTTGAGATACATCAAGATAAATGCACCTATATAATGTATTTTTCTATACGTAAAGAAATAATAAAAATGTTATCAAAAGCCGTTTCTAATCAGCACAAACCTTTTAGTTGCAGCTTAAACGCAACATCACGCCACAAAATAAAAAGTGGTTAATCAAATACTTTTCCAGCTTTTGCTCTGCTAAAATCATCGACTGCAACATAAATTAAAGAAACAGCTCTGACAGTTAGAGGGTGGGATCGTTGCTCTAATAAGTGCCAGTCATTTTGGTGGTTTTGCTTCAGGGGAATGTGTGGGAATGGGGGAGTCCAATTCATTTGAAGATCTTTTAAACTGCGAGTGGGCGGTTTACAGCCCTGATATTATCCATAACTCTTCCACTATTACAACCACCCACCTTACAAATTGTCAGCACCTCTGTGTGAACCCCTCAGACGAACTGTTGTATTCTTCAAATGGCTCTAATTGCAATGATGTAAGGATATGCCAGAGCGCACTTCCTATAGTTAAGAGCAGCTTTATAAACGGAGTGTAATAAGACCTGAACCACCAGCTCAGCAACCGCAAGCATAAACTTAAAACTTAAGCCTGTGATAAAAGCAAGGCTATGTAAAATACAACAAATCTGTATTACTTAAAGTAGACAAGACAAATATAAGATACTACAGCCATATAAAGATACTTCAATATATATAAAGCTATTTAGACATCAAAGCAAAAAGTTTCACACATTCACCTGGGGACTCCTTCAAGTAAATGTAGTCTCATCTTTCAGTAACAACTCCAACCTAACAACTATGAAGTGCGTTCCATCTTATTACTGAGTACAAATTCCTCATACACCCTCATACACATCTTAATAATGGAACTACTACAACTATTACTACAACTACAACTTCAAAGACTGTGTAAGCTGTTACGCACAGGCAAATCATTTGTTACACACACAATTGTATCATCCCCAAGCAGCAGAAATGATTGTGCCAAGATCATATAGTATAGCCAATTATCAATTTATTTACCCCTATTATTTAGTAGTAGCGCCAGCATCATACCTGCATAGTCTTCAGCTTGTGGTCAGCTGCGCTGTAGCGCTCACACTCCTCCATCCCTCTCCTCAGGAAGGCGTTCACCACAAAACTATCACCTGAATACAATAAAAATATACTACAGTTTAGCTCAAGTTGATTGAAAAGAATTGCATCATATGAGGTTGTGTTGTGAGTCTAATTTCCTCACCTTCGGGGTTTTCTCTGCGCTTACACGCTTCAGACCCAACCATTACGCACGAGGAAGATGCAAAGAGATGTTAATATTGGATAAATTAAGTACATATGAAAGATCGTTGTAAGAGGCATGAAATCTTACCATGTTTCGACTGAAGTTTGCCCATTCTGAAGGGCTTTCTTATATCGATTAAGGTTACTCCAAATCCAACAGGGGAAAAGCACTCGCTCGCGGAGAACGGTCACATTGTGAAGAAAACTCCAACTTCATCCAATGGCCAGGATATATGCGGCTCTGTCATTGAAAACGCGATCCTCTGCGACTGAAGATGGGGTGATGGTCGAACTGATGGATAAAAAGAAGGGAGCGCGTGCTGTATCCGTGTGATTTCACCGTCTCTCTCCTGCCCCTCTCTGAACATGAAGCTCTTTGAACACAGCACGTTCCGCGGCGCCTCTGACAAGTCTGCCAGCGCGTGCGTAAAACATCCGGCTATCAGCTTTTAAGAGAATAAAAGCCTCCAGCCAAAAATAATGTATATCTGTATACCCTAATTTTAGAGTATTTAATCTTAAATTATAGTGTGAAATCGATAATGTAATAAACTGAGTGTAACAAGGAGGCACACTTTATAATGTCGCTATATTTGGTGTACTATTGTGAAATGGTGGTATTCACTTTTGTAACAGAATTGTAATATAGCTGAAAGATATGAGAAAAGCATAACCCTAATCCAAGCAAAGATAAAAAAAAAACATAAATTAAAAAAAAGTACATATTGTCACATATATTATCCAGGCAAAATCATGTAAGTGATCTAATAATGTGCCATTACTGTACTACAGACCATAAACCTACTTCCAGCTTCACTGAAACAATCAGCAACTTGACGGACTGAAGATCCCCAAGTGTTGCTGGTGGCACAGATTCATATAAAGTGCGCCCTCTATAGGTCTGTAGGGAGGGACAGTGATCATAATAATTAAAATTTACACAAAAGGTTGTACGGTCAATAATTCATACAGTTTATGTACTGTACGTGATTGATAATTAAACTAATAGGCAGTAGTTGGGACTATTGCACTACACCTGCAAACCCCTATGTGCAATTGCAGAGTTATAACTGCAAGGAAGAACACTAAAAAGTTCGAATTTCCATTGTATTGTCTTTGTGCAAGAAATAAAAAGACTTACATTACAGAAACACATGGTGTCTCTGTATTATGTGGGATGAGTCAGTGCATTGTGGAATGATACTAACACAGAATTAAAACCACAACTGTTTTCAGATTAAAATAATGTATTATGTTTTTATATGTGGTCATTATTTATTAATTCAGAATGAACCTTTTCATTACAAAATTTGCTATCCAGGGACTGCTGATAAAAATTATCATCAAAGTGGTAATTTGATACAAGACATCAGTGCAGATTCAGGTTTATGCATTCTGTCTAGTGTCCCTGTCTGAATAAATAAACAGAAACATGACAACAAACATTTTCCATCTTGAATCCACCTGCAACAAATATTTGTCCAGTTTCAGGGCTGTGTACAGTGGATGCTGAAGATAAATGAATGTTTATACAGGAAAGCTGGCAGGCCTCACATAAGCCCACCAGACACCACCATCTTTCAGCAGGTTTTACAGTTTGTTTTCTTTGGCATGGCATTAAAGCTTTAACTTTCCAACACACGCCAGCAAGTTCTGAATATTCATTTAGACAAGCAATCAAATGTGTGAAAATATGCTGGTTGTACTTCGCTCTAAGATTATGCCTGTTTTAAAATTATAGTATAAAGTAGTGTTTCGTGTTTAAGCAAGGTTTAGCATATTTAATGTCAGTAGTCAGACGCTTATTGCGACAGCCTGATATTACTCAACAGTCTCTACGTATAAAAGAGCCACCAAAGACATCAGTGTATTACAACTGCAGCAGCCCATAGTCTGGAGGGTAATAATCTAATGGCTGGTACTTATAGGTTGTGTTTACACATGTTGGGTTTTCATCCTTCTTAGAAACATTATTTTGACTTGCATTCATTTCCTAGAGACTGATCCTAACCATAGCAACATAGTTACTACTTGCTTAACCCTGACCAAAACCCTAATCCTAACCTGTTTTAACCTACATCCGTCCACGTTGTTGACCTGATTTTTGTCATCATATTTGTTTGTATTCAAATTTTAGTAAATACAACGCGATAAAAATAGCAGCTCACCATATCAAACTTGGACTAGACCAGGACTAATCCAGGACTAACAGGACCAAACCACGCCTGCATCAGGTCTAAATCAGACTGCAACCCAACTCGGTTCAGATTGTAAGGGTCACAGTATAACTGGGAAACAACAATAATTGTGATAAATTGCTTCTGAAATTAACACCCCTCATGGATTAACTCAGTTGTGATTTTAACAACTAAAGTTTCCTTTTTCTTAATCTAAAAACATTTAAATCTATATAATCACTGGATTACTTTCTCTTGACATAGTGGAAGCACAAATGTTAGAACTTAGAGCGAAAACATTTCATTTCTGAGATGACAAAAACAACAAAAGCGCTGCAGTTCTCTTTTAGGGGCAATGTTCAGAGGGATAAAAGCCCTGGTTTATCATCAAAGGCTCCCACAACAGTGAAAAATGGATAAGTCCGGGAACTGTGACGGTTTTATGACGACTCATTAGTTATTTCTGCAAGATTTAAGGCATTGTACTCGCCAAAAACATGATTGTGATAAAATGAGCCTGCACACAAAACAGAAAATCAAATTGGTAACATAAATACATCTACCACTAAGCCTGCCATTTTTATTTAGTTGGAAAATCAAGCAGTTTCCATAGGTTTAGTCTTAAAAAGCCTATATATATACTGTGTGTGTGTGAGAGAGATGGGGTTGTGTGGTACCCCCTTCTTATGTGAATCACTACTGGCACAGGCACTAATATTCCACAGCTCTGAGGCATGTACCTGAACAACAGTCGACAGGAAAAACATCATTTGTTTTGTTTGGAGTTTGTCAGACATTTTAAAGTAGTTTGAAACTGTGATAAAACTTTGTAACAATACGCCTTTTGAGATTTCTTCCCTCATTGACTTGATTGCCTCTCAACAGCTGCCCGCTTTTGGATCGGCTACAGTCAAGAATGAATAAAAAAGCTTTCAGACAGGCCAATTATGGGGTTATTTAAAATGTCTGTCCTTTTGCGGCACTTGGGATTAGAGAAAAGAAGGGCTTCCGTGTGTGATTCATCGTAGATAATTGACTTAAAAAAAATGTTGCATGTACAGTAAACACAAGGTGCAAAGATTATAGGGCTTTAAAAATATACTTTTCACAAATAGAAAAAAGGGGGAAATCCAGTCTGTCTACATCCTCTAACAAATTTCAATGCAAAGATATCTATATTGTGTGTGTAAATCTTTCCTTTATACTTATGGCATCCATCTTGCTCTACCCTAAAAAGTTTATGTTGATTTAGTAGCTATGAAGCATGACAAAAAGTAAACTTTCTTTTACAACAGCCAATAGTATGCACCTTTGAAGTGCAGTGAAAAAGCTGTTGGCCAACAACAAACAAAGGCCTCATTCATTGTCAGGTCCCCGCAGCTGACATGCAAAGCACCAGAGCATTCATTCACAGAATTCAAAACATGCTTGTATGAACAATGGTGCCTCTCATCTGTCCATATAAACTATGTCTGATGCTCTATGGAAAAATATTAAGCCACATCCCAACTGTTTGGCTTTAGGTTAAATTAGTCAATCAAGTGCACGCCCATGTCATATGTATATAGACTAACTAACAGTACTACTCTTATCAGTTGGCAAAAATACTCTACTGCTGTGACTACTTGTCATTTGTAAAACTGCGTTACTAGTCAGTAAATTATGTGCTTAGAAAGGCAAGTCTGGTTATAAAATAATTACTGTTCTTATCTTCCTTTGGTGGCAAGAGCCTAACCTTTTATTGTCTTGTCTGTTATAAAATATACAGAAACACTACCAGGCATGTACACACCCTCTAGTGGTGGCTGTTTGAAACTGCCAGTAATCTTGAATAGCAATCAAAAAGTCACTGTTGTTTATTACAACTTTATAAGACAAATATTCATAATAACAGTAGAAAAAGTAAGCACAAATACACTTAACAACATTCAACAAAAAGTGGTTTCTTAAGGGATAGGATTTCCTTGTTTATACTTAGGAAATAACAGAAATGCCCAACACAACAAAAGAATAAAATTTATAATAACTACATTTTATATAAAAGTAAACCGTTTACACAAACTGAATTTATAACACGTACATAAAGCAACACTAAAGGTGAGTGTTGATGACATTTAAAATGTGTTTTTCCTAAAATGTGTTAAATACTGAATATGTAGGCCATGAGAAAAATACCAGGTTGGCTTTAATGTCCTCAGACTCCATTGACCAGGTTACGTTTCTCCTCCTTCTGTTTATCCACAGCCCTGTCCATTGCATCCAAGAACTTATCGAGAGTTGCAGTTGGTGTCTGCAACAAAATGAGAAGTAGTAATTAAAAAGTAAACATGCCATTCCTTTGTATTTTTTATAAACCAGAATGTGCTTACCTTGACAAACATTGCATGGGCTAAAAATGGTAGCTTCCGGAGAGCCCTTCCACTCAAACCTCTGCTTTTTCTGTTTTGGCAAAAGACAAGGTACACAAGAGCCTGAGGTGTTTTGATTTTGTACACACAGTAGTAGCTTAATTGAAAGCTGTTTCATGATTTATGGCGTTACTCACAGTGCAATGCTCCTGAGCTTCAGACTGTGTTCAGAGACCTCACTCTTTGCAAAGCCCATTGTTTCAAGTTCAAACATGGTGAACAGCTGCTGCCGAGGGTAGATTATCTGGCACTGCACAAAGTCATAAACATACAATACTTTTATTACCAAAATACAACTAACAGCTTCAGTAGAAACTATAAAATAAGGGTGCCAAAAGGTTTCAGTTCCAACTTTCAGTAAAACACTTAGATCAATACAGAACACGTTTTCTAGTTGTTAGCTAGCATTACTCAAAAATGTATCCTAAGAAGGTGTAGGCTTCTTATCTAGAGCTTTACAGAAATAATACTTTGTGAGAAAATGTACTGTTAACACTGCACTGTTTGAGCATAAATTACCTATTTACTCTTAATTAAATTCATAGTATACTTGACCTACTAGTTAAATGTATACTTTATACATTTTTTGAGAATGTATATGGCTTGCATTTTTTTATTCTACTTCTGTTCTTGTGCTTTGCATTGCAACACTGAAATGGGACAAATAAAGGTTATCTTACTTTTACAATAGAAATCATTAAAGTATTTGTTTTTTGTTCACTATTGACCTTCATGAGCTCCTCCAGACAGGAGAGGAAAATGTTGTAGATGCCTTTCTCTGAAG